GGCTGCCAATCTTACTGGAGTGAGATGGTATCTTAGGGTGGTTTTGATTTGTATTTCTCTGACTGCTAGAGATGGTGAGCATTTTTTCATGTACTTGTTGATTGATTGTATATCCGAATTTGCTGATCTTTTTATAATTATTCTTTTGAAATTTTTTTGGGGGGGTACTAGGAATTTATCGTAGTGATGGCTTTACCACTGAGCCACATCCCCAGCCCATTTTATGTTTTATTTTGAGACAGGATCTCCCTAAGTTGCATAGGGCCTTGTTAAGTTGCTGAGGCTGGCTTTGAACTTGTGATCCTCTTGCCTCAGCCTCTTGAGTTGTTGGGATTATAGGCATGCACCACCATACCTGGTATTCTTTCTTTTAAATTCTTAATCCAGTATTTCAATCTACTTCAATATCTTTTGAGTCAGTTGTTGGTGAATTGTAAACCTTGGGAGATGTCATGTTACCTTGTTTTATATTTCTTATATTTCTATTTTGTGTTATGATTTGTTCATCTATTGGGACAGAGTTCTCTTGTACTTTGATGGGAGGGATTTTTTTTAAGGTACAACCTTCTCTTGGTAATGTGTTCTGGGACATCAGAGTGTTGTAAGTTGTTGAATATATTTCCAAGTGGATGTTGTAGTATAGTTTCCTTGATCATTTGGGGGGATGATAGTCCACTTTGATATAGCACTGTAATGTGTTGGAGCTTAAGATCCCACTTTTTCTGTAGGACACACAAGAGTGTGATCCTTCTAGCAGATCAGGCAGTTGTGTTTTATACAGCAGGACATATAAGGTATGCCCTCTGTGGTAGCTCTTCTAAGCTTGACAAGTCTGTATGTCTGTAATTTAGGAGTGCTCTAGGTTGAGTCTCTACATAGGTGTGATGTCCACATCTGCCATAGGAGCAGATGTTCACAAATGGGACCTGAGGCCCCTCCCTAGCTGTTTCTATAGAGGGCCTCTGTGGGAGTTTTTTGCTCCTCTATTTTGTGTGTGAATGTGTGTGTTAAAGTATTGCTGAAGTTTGAGTGGGTTTGGGACCAAGTGTGCTGTCTTTTAGCTGGGTTTGGGGTGTAGCTCAGCAGTATAACTAGATTTCCAATACCTCACAGAAAAGGGGGATATAAAAACCAGCAACAAAGGCAGAAAACAATACACATCATTAAAGTAAATACTAGGAACCTACCATGATATCTATAACTCTAAATAACCACACAAACAAGAATGGTGGGGTTGGAAATTAACAACAGCAAAAACAAACTACAGGCATGAACTAGACACGTCACTAAAGTAAACACCAGGTGTCCACTACAACATCCACAACACCAACGGCCACTGCAACATAAATGATGAGGCAGGAGTTATATAAACTAAATGGTTTTTAAATATAATAAAAATACAGATAATTCAGAGAAAAGAAAATGGAGTAAGAAGGAAAAAGGAAGTTAAGAATATTTAAAAGGAGTGGATGGGGGTTGTCGCTCAGCAGTAGAGCACTCACCTAGCACGTGTGAGGCCCTGGGTTCTATCCCTCAGCACCACATATAAATGAATAAAATAAATGCATTGTGTCCAACTATAATTAAAAAATAAATATTTAAAGAAAAAGGAATATTCAAAAGGTGAAAGGAGAGAAGACAGAAGAGAAGTAGCATGTGAAGACATAAAGAAGGAGAGAGGAAAAAATAAAAGAAACAAAATACAGACTGAGATAGAGAAAGAACAAGATAATTTGGTTATTACAGAGAGAAGAAAGTGGAGAAAGTAACAAGAGATAAAAACTAAAACTTAAAAATACCTTCAAAAAACAAAACAAGCCAGGTGTGGTGGTGCATGCCTACAATCCCAGCAGCTGGGGAGGCTGAGGCAGGAAGATAGAGAGTTCAAGAGCCAGCCTGGGCAACTTAACGAGGCCCTAAGCAACTTAGCAAGAACTTGTCTCTAAATAAAATACAGAAAGGGCTGGGGATGTGGCTTAGTGGTTGAGTGCCCCTGGGTTCAATCCCCAGTACCAAAA